GAGGGGAGGAGGGGGAAGAGGGGAGAAGAGAAGAGAGGAGAGGAGATGGGAGAGGACAGAGGAGTGGAGACATGAGGTGAGAGGGGAGGAGAGGAGAGAGAGGAGGGGAAAGAGGGGGGAGGAGAGTGCAGTAGAGAGGCAAGAGGAGAGAGGAAAGGAGAGGACCAGGAGAGGAGAGGAGAGCAGAAGGGAGAGGGGTGAGGAGAAGATAGAAGAGGAGAGAGGAGAGGACAGGAGAAGAGAGAGGAAAGGAGAGAGGGGAGAGGGGAGAGGATAGAAGAGAAGATGAGAGGGTAGAGGAGAAAGAATCCCTGTGTCCACTTTCATAAGTAGACGAGGTTCATCTCTTTGTAGCAGTTAGTTGTAGCATTTCATACCTCTTTATATCCAAGTAATAAAGACCTCATTGTTCGGATAGACCGTGTTCTGTGTTTCCATGTTCCAGCTAGTAGGCATTTGAATAATGTTGCTGAGAAAGTCTGTATATTCAGATTTCATGTGGACATGTTTTCAATTTAGGGGTTATGTAGCTAGCAGTGGATAAATGTGTAAACCCACTGCCATTGATTTTTGACTAACAGCACCCATCCTAGGGTTTCTGAGAGCCCTAACCCCACAGTGTTACGAGAGCTCAAAGCATTGAAAGAAACCTCTGTTTTCGTTTGCTATCAAGTATTTACCCTTCTACATGCAGCTTTCATCAGCAAGGTTTTGGTGGAAGATGTGTTTCCTTCTGTAGGTTATTTTCTTGTTGCTGCGTTTTCAGTGGTCCTCGTCCCCTCGTAAACAGTAAGCTTCAGTTTGGTCAGGGACTGTTGTTTGCCCTGGTAGTCTTCCAATTCCAGCTTCCTGGTGGGCATACAGGATATGAGTGTTAAAGATCAGTATTATCCGATGTGATTGTACGTGAAGGAATATGGTAAGATGGTTGTTTTATCCTGAGTGTGAATGCTGGACAGCATACTCCAGCTCTGACTTCGGAAGTGATTCTCCAGGATTTGTGCTAACTGCTTAAATGGCCTGCAGCAGCTCGTTAAAATGGTCTGCAGCAGCTACTATCTCGCACCACCTTGAATTATAGTGCCCAACACTTAGCTTCTGTCTGTGCTCTGCCATCATTTTATGGCACTATTAACCTATGAAGGGGAGCCCCTGCTGGTGAGTTGGATTAAGCATTGGGCTAGATTGCTGGTTTCAACCCACCAGTCAGTCCTGGGGGAAAAGGTCATCTGCTATTGTTAATGATTTTACAGTCTTGGAAACCCTATGGAGTAGTTCAACTCTGCCCATTATTCTAAAG